TCAGGTTTGCGTTTTAATCTGAGAGAAAACATTTGGAAAATAATATATGCACTTTGCATGTTTATCCATTTTTTAACCAAATAAATGTTGTGTTTTCCAATACACCGGTCCAGCCTGGACCAAAAATATTTAACACAGCACGTTCAAACTTCTACGTTTTTAATGTGGACAGGGCTTAAGATAAACGTCCACGCGAGAGGGTGGAGAGCATTGCGTGACTCCATCCCGAGCGGCTGCGAAGAAGACTAAAACCAAGAGTGAATGAGCTAAAACCAAGAGAGGATAACGACTCCGATCAAGTCTCTAGCCCTGATAAAGCGATCGCTGGAGAAAGCGTTCATGTGTAAATGACATTTCATGATCATGATTCATTCCGAATGGTGTCTCTTGATGTTCACATGTTTGCTACTGGGACGAGCCAGCCATTTATTTTGGGGCTAGGATTAGTAGGGGGGTTAGCGAAAACAGAAAAACAAAATCATGCACAAGAAAAGAAGGAGAAAATTGGTACACAAGGAAGCACGGGGAAACGTTTATGCAAGTCTTACCTATTTGTGGTATTTGTATAACGGGAATGTTAGAAAGGAAATTCTCACATTTTTAATCCTATTCGAATGAAAAGTGTTGAATAGACATAATCTCGTCCTCCCCGATATAAAATAATATTGCTCACATTGCCGAATCTCCGTAAATCTGCAATGAAAAGATTTCCAGGTTAAGCCCTGGTTCAACTTAATTTGTTTCGGCAATGAGTCTAAGCAATGCCTGTTCTTGAAAGTGTCCAGGAGCGCAAACTAAGTTCTATTTTTGATAAATCGCAAAAATTGCCAGCTTTTTCGTACGGTATCAGCCCTGTCTTTTATACCCTTTTTCGGTAGACCAGTGTTCTAATGACCAAAGTTTAGCCCTTTCTTAGCGCTTTGTATCCGTAGTTTTTGTTGTAGTGGTGCTCGTCAATGTGCAGTTTAATTTCGCCGCCTTACCAGCCATTTTTGTTTCGTGCTTTCATTAGTTTTTAGTTTTTCCCTCCCATGTTTTTCTTGGCAACCTTCATTTCGATACGTCGAGGCAAATTTTCACTGTTTATTTTTACCGTCATTTAGGGAGCCATTTTTCGATTGCAAATTTTAAGCATTGCTGGGTAATTTCCTCCTTTTTCTCCCACTTTCCACACTTTTAGAACTCCCATCACACACCCTTTCCTCTCCCATCTCCCAAACCCGTCCCAGTGGTCCCACCCCTTATTCTCCCGAGCTCCGCCCCCTGTCCACCTCCACAAAATTCTTCGTTAATTTCCGCCCCGCTTGTACCGTAAATCCCTTGTTATTCCGTTCTTGCTTAGAAGTTTCATTTTAAAGTCCTCTTAACGTTCCTCTATGTTCGTTAAATATCATTATTAAGCGACTACGTAACTGGCCCTTGTCCAGGCAAAAATGCGCTTGACTGGAAAATCTTTATCGCACCTAACCGGTTAGTTATTTCCGCCTCTGTTTCAACAAAGATTTGAATCGAGCACAGAGAAAGACAGTTGTTCCATTGTTAATGTTAAGTAACAGAGGCTTGCCTTATTATAACTTGTGGGAAGTTACAGATTTTGAATGAATCTGGAACCAGTTTCAAATTAATAACCCATAGAGTTTAACTCCATATATTAAAATATAATACAACAACTGTTGCTAGAGGAACTAAGGTCGATGCCTCTTATTTAACTAAACTTATGAAGCGTGGGCTGCGATAAAAGGCTATGAATATAAGTGTACAGTTGTCGCGAAAACAAAACTTCTGCAAATAAGAGCGGCTGAAAAAAATGGAAGAAATTGCTCAGTCTCTACTCTCCCTCCGCCTCTCCTAATAAAATGCTCCTTTCCTAAAATAAAGTAGCTATAGCCTAAGATCGGTCTATATTTTTTATATTGATTGCCTTTTTTTTCAATCAGTTAACAACGAAATCAAGAGGCATACCTCACAGATGCCATTTGACACGGCACCTGATCTTTCAATCAGCTCGTTTAGGAAACTCATATTATTTACTTTTTCAATTCAATGTTTGGCTGAACCTTAGTCTGTTTTCTTTCCAGTCATTTCTATATTTAAAATTACACCCCACGACTCAAAAAATTAATATCAAGTAAATTGAATTTCAAAAATATATATATTTTGATATAAGACTCCTTACTTTTCCTCAGCATTGTTGACATTTATGGAAACGGCCGTTTGACCCTTCAGAGCTGGTTCATTGCGATCGCCCACATCTAACTTTCTAACTAGTCAATTCATACCAGAGTAATAAAAGACTCAATCAATCTTTCGATTTTACAAGTAAAAACTTTTTTTTCCTGATCACCATGAAAAAATGTGAGTCAAGACAACTTTTGGAGTTTGTGTTACCCGCGGTTGCGTGAGGGTTTTCACGTGCATTTTATGCGAAAACATCGAAAATAAACTCCGCGTTTGCTTCTCTCGGCGGGTTGCTTTTTAATTGCCCCAGCTGGATTTTTTA